GGCAGTCTTTACCAAAAGCAAACTACAGATTCAATGCAATTCCCATCAAAATCCCAACACAATTCTTCACAGACTTGGAAAAAACAATATTCAGCTTTCATGTGGAAAAACAAAAACCCCAGGATAGCTAAAAGAATCCTGTACAATAAAGCAACCTCTGGAGGCATCAACCATCCCTGACCTCAAGCTCTACTATAGAGCTACAGTAATAAAAACAGCTTGATACTGGCATAAAAACCGACATATGGACCAATGGAATCGAATTGAAGACCCTGACATTAATCTGCACACCTGTGAATACCTGATTTTTGAAAAGACAAAACTGTACAATGGAAAAAAGAAAGCATCTACAACAAATGGTGCTGGCATAACTGGATGTCAGCATGTAAAAGATTGCAAATAGATCCCTATCTGGATCAAAAACCTCAACATAAATCCGGTTACACTGAACTTGATAGAAGAGAAAGTAGTCTTGAATGCACTGGCACAGAAGACCACTTCCTAAATATAACACCAGTAGCACAGACACTGAGAGCAACAATTAATAAATGGGACCTCCTGAAACTGAGAAGCTTTTGTAGGGCAAAGGACACACTCAATAAGACAAAATGACAGCCTATAGAATGGGAAAAGATCTTCACCAACCCCACATCTGACAGAGGGCTGATCTCCAAAATATATTAAAAAAAAAAAAATTCAAGAAATTAGACATCAAAATACCGAACAATTCAATTAAAAAAAATGGGCTACAGAACTAAACAGAGAATTCTCAACAGAAGAATCCCAAATGGCTGAGACATTTAAAAAATTGCTCAACATCCTTAATCATCAGGGAAATGCAAATCAAAATGACTCTGAGATTCCATCTTACACCTGTCAGAATGGCTATGATCAAAAACACTGATGACAGCTTATGTTGGAGAGGATGCAGAGCAAGGGGAACACTCCTCCACTGTTGGTGGGAATGCAAACTGGTACAGCCACTTTGGAAATCAGTATGGCAGTTTCTCAGAAAATTGGGAATCAATCTACCTCAAGACCCAGCTATACCACTCTTGGGCATATACCCAAGGAATGCTCAATCATAACTCAACTATGTTCATAGCAGCACTATTTGTAATAGCCAGAACCTGGAAACAACCTAGGTACCCTCAACCAAAGAATGGATTAAGAAAATGTGGCACATATACACAATGGAGTACTACTCAGCAGTGAAAAACAGTGATATCATGAAATCTGCAGGCAAATGGATGGAACTAGAAAATACCATCTCAGAAGGACAAACATGGTATGTACTCACTCATTAAGTGGATAGTAGATGTAAAGCAAAGGATAACCAGACTGCAACCACAGCTCCAGAAAAGCTAGCTAACAAGGAGAACCCTAAGAGGGATGCATGGATCACCCTAGGAAGGAGAAATAGATGAGATCTCCATGGGCAAACTGGGGGTAAAGAGGGGGGTAATGAAGGGCAAGGAATGGGGGATGAGAACATAAGGGAACAGGAGGTTTGAGCTAGAACAAGGACAGAGTGAAAGAGCAAGGAAAGAGATACTATGACAAATGAAGACATGGGAATAGGGAAAAACAGGGTGCTAGGAAAGTACCCAGGAATCCACAAGGATGACCCCACCTTAGACTACTAGCAATAGTCAAGAGGGTGCTTGAACTGGCCTATTCTGGTAATCAGATTAGTGAATACCCTGTCATCATAGAGCCTTCATCCAGTAACTGTTGGAAGCAGATGCAGAGATCCATGGCCAGGTGACAGGCCGAGCTCCAGGAGTCCAATCGATGAGAGAGAGGAGGGATTCTATGAGCAAGGGACATCAAGATCATGATGGGAAAATGTACAGAGACGGCCAGCCAAACTAGTGGAAACTCAGGAACTGTGGACCAATAGCAGTGGAGTCTCCGTGGGACTGGACTAGGCCCTCTGGATAGGTGAGACAGTTGTTCAGCTTGAACTGGTTAGGAGGCTCCCAGGCAGTGGGATTGGGATCCATCCCTGGTGCATGAGCAGGCTTTTTGGAGCCCAGTGCCTATGGTGAGATACCTTGCACAACCTTGGTGCATGGGGGAGGGGCTTGGACCTACCTCAACTGAATATACCAGGCTCTGCTGACTCCCCATGGGAAACCTTGCCTTGGAGGAGGTGGGAATGGGAGGTAAGTTAGGGTGGGGGAGGCTGGAGAGCAGGAGGAAGAAGAGGGGAATCTGTGGTTGGTATGTAAAATGAATAGAAAATTTCCTAATAATAAAAATGAAAAAAAAAAATTGAGGGCTGGAGAAAGAGCTCAGTGGTTAAAAGTACTAACTGCTTTTTCAGAGGACCTAAGGTTCGATTGCCAGTAGTCACCTCAGGCAGATCACAGCTATGCCTCTAAGGAGCCAATGACCCTGGCACCCTCGGGTAGTGTGTTCACATACACATAACGCGTAATTACAAAACAAACAAATCTTTTTTTAAAAAGGTGGGCTGAAAGGCTCAGTGGTCATGAGCACTTGCACACACATAGGGTAGCTGAGAACATCCTACAACTCTAGCTCCAGTGGATCTGGGGGGTCCTTTTCTGGCCCCTGTGGGTGTCCACACAGATACACATACATACTTTAAAATTGTTTACCTTTATAACACAAAGAACCCAAGATGAAATCAGGTCTGGTCACAGCAAAAGGGTGATGATTCCACAACACTCTCAACAAACCCTGGACCACAGGCGATGCTGCCATTGGCCAGCCAGGAGACTAGACTTCAGCATGGCTAGTGGCCTAAAGCATGTGTCACACACAGTAACACATTCATTCCTGGGTCTCTGCTAAGTCAGGAGGCAGCAGCCAGGAATTTAGTCTTTGTTCAAACCCTATTTCAGAGCCACAAAACAAGTCTGGGGGTCCTGCTTTTGTTACTTACAGACAGGCTCTCCTTGAGTAACCCAAACTGGCCTGTAATTCACAATCCTCCTGCTTCAGCCTCCCCAGTGCTGGGATTATAGGCCTGAGTTCCCAACCACCACGAAATGGTCTCCTTTATAGTTTCAAGAGATGATGAAGGAACAATGGAATCTTTTAACTTTTAAATACTCTATTACACTTGTATTTATTAATTCTATTTATGTGTCTGTGTAGGTATGTATGTGGGTTTCAGGGACTGAACTCAGGTAATCAGGTTTGGAGGATAAATGCTTTTACCATTGAACCATCTCACTGGTCCCCATAAAGCTTTTTGTAAATAATTTTGTGTGTGTGTGTGTGTGTGTGTGTGTGTGTGTGTGTGTGTGTTGAAGCCAGAGGAAAACTTGCAGGCACTGGTTCTCTCCTTCCACCATTACAGGTTCAAACACGGCCGGAGCTGCCTTTATCCACAGACCCACCTCACCAGCCCCATGGAACTTTTATAAACATCTTTTCCACATTCCCAGCTTTGATTTTTGGCCACTGAAAGCTTAAGCAGAAAGGTGGGGCAACTTTATAAAGGCATCGTTCTAACTCACCCTAACCCACTATTCGGCCTGGTATCCCTACTGGCTAGAAATAGGAATTCACCCTTATTCCAGAAAAACTGAACCCAAATCCACCTTAAGGTTTTAACTTCTCAGTTCAGTAACATGGATCAGAGACAAGGGCAATAAACCCCAAGCTACAGAACCAATTTTCACCCAGGGCAAGGGCCCAGTCTCTTCAAATTAACTAGTGTCACAGTGCACAGGAGAGGGGTTGGGTGGAAACCCACCACCTGATTTACTAATGTAGCTCCTGGCTCCTTTGACTAAACAGTAATGGGCCTTCCATCAGAGATACTTTTGAAATGCCATAAAATACATGGACTGGAAGAGGTTGATAGTGAGAAACACTGGTCCCACAGGGGCTGTGACCCAGGTTCAATTCCTAGCACCCACATGGTAGCTCACAACCATCCATAACTTCAGTTCTGGGGTGTCCCATGCTCTCTTCAACAGCAGGCACACATGTGGTACATACACATATATGCAGGCAAACACTCACATATAATAAACATAAAACATTTTAGTCTTTATCTGCTAGGGATGCACATGCACATAGTTCAGAGATAAAATTATGTCTGAGGTTTGCTTTCCAAAAACCTGGGAAAAAACGAACACGTAATCTCAGGACTTGGAAAGCAGTGGCAAGAGAGCAAGTCTGAAGCCAACCTGAGCCACATGCGAAGTCTGATGGGTCTCGGCTGTCCAGTGTACAGAGCCGGTCTCAAATAAACCCAGGAAGTGGTGTGTCTGGGCTATCTCAAACCCAGGACCGGAGGGTGGAAAGCACCAAGTGCTCCCAAACCCCCATCCCTAACACAACAACACAACTAAACCTCCAGCTTGGTATGTAAAAGGCACGCACTACCTGGCATACAGGTCGGGTCCCCAGGCCCTTCTACGTGGTGGAAATAAGGAACCAACCCTTGAAGGTTGTCTTCCAATCTCCACATGCACACCATGTTGCATGTACCCCGACACAAAATAAAAATAAGACTTAAAAAAAAGAACCAGTGGGAGAGCCGGCCCGGGAGCTAGGTGGCCTCACAACCATTCATAACACCAGTTCCCGGGAGTGCAACACCCTCTTCTAACATCCATGGGCACAGATAAAAAATTGAAGTGTTTTTAAGTAAATAAAACAAGCAAAAGTTAAATTTAGAACAGGAACCAGGGCCCAAAGCCAGCAAGGTGGCTCAGTGGGTAATGCCATCTGCAGGCAAGCCTAACGACCTACCTGAGTTCAGGTCATTTTCTCCTTCAGGGCCCCACAGGGAAGGAGAAAACCAACCCCCAGAAGTGTACACACACACACACACACACACACACACACACACACACACAAAGGGAGAGAGGGAGAAAGGGAGAGAGAAAGGGAAAGGGAGAGAGAGGGAGGGAGGGAGAGAGAGAGAGAGAGAGAGAGAGAGACAGACAGAGAGACAGAGAGAGAGAGAAACACACGAACCAGGGACACAATAAAAACCAGAACACCAGAGCTGTAAAACACCAAATCTATATTTACATCCACATATAATAACATAACTTTAAGCTGAAATATATCATAAATAAAGCATGTCTACGGTCTGACAACTTAAGTATCAACAATTAAAATAAATCAAACCGGAATGAAATAAATACATTAACAAAAATCCAACGAATTGTACCTCTATCACATGTACTGTTGCCGCAAAGGAAAGACACAGGAAGCCAGTAGTATCCCGAGAGTTAATACTGATGATAAGAACACATTGTGAAGTACAAGGGCTGTTTATAAACAAACAAAACCTGGAATTTTTATGCATTCAGAAAATGTAACTAGAGAAATCTGAAAGCCCCCAAAATTTCAGCATTACACACATTGACTTGTTTTCTAATAGATTTGGTGATTTTTTTTTAATACAGGTTTAACTTTGCCCCCCATTGTATATAACCTCCCCCCTCAAGATTTACATTTATCATCTCTGCGAGCTTCCTGTATACTCGCTAGATTTAGCAAAGATTGAGTCAATCATCTTGCAAATGTGTTAATCTTCAAAAATAGGCTATAAAAGTGCAGAACCTAAGAAAACAGTCTAGATTATGTACATATGGCTCAGCTTGTGGACGGGAACAGGGCCTAGTGTACATGTTCTTGATACAAAAGCACTTTCTGCAAGAGCAGACACATCTCAACCCGGGTCTCCCTTCAACATAAGAGGTCAGGTCTCCCTTAGGGACCGTCCACAAGCCTCCCAAGGACCCCCATGTCACATAATCAGAGTGGGAAGAGCCGGGGTTCTTTGAGCTCTTCACCCTTCTGTCCTACCAAGGGGGAGGGGTAAGGAAAGGGAGCAGTGCAAATTCACCTTTGAAACAGTTTCTTAATAAAATACTTTGGGTTTGCTAAACCCAAAAACTGTTGGAGAAACTCAAGGCATCAAAGGAACTCAAGTTTAAAATGTCCAGCGAGCCAGCTGGTGGCTGTCTTCCCTCAAGCCCAAGCTGCCTGTGCACTGAGGACATCACCCTGGCCGAGAAACAAAGAAAAGGAGACGAGGGGGACTACAGCAGCTCTTCTCTCCCTGCCTGCCAGGAGGCTCAGTCAGCACTCAAGGTGTTCACAATTCACACCAGACACACCAAGACTCCAGACACAAACTAAAAATCTCCCCAAACCTTTCACTCCCTTTAAAATTGCTTCCCAGCATGCAATTCACACAAGGAAATTTGGCATATTTGTCTAGACTTAACTCAGACAACTCTCCAAGAAACTGACTCTCACAAGAGAAATGAAGAACTGAGATGGCCTCCATGGAGCCTGGCTCTGCCACCCTACAGAGCGATGGCGTCTCTGTAGGCACGTTTGCTCAGAAGCACCATAGGCCACCCCAGGGCAGGATGCCGGGGTTCCAGAACAACCTGTCCACAGGAAGACAATGTTATCTTCCTCGCTGATAACAGCTGACTAAAGGTGCCAGGTTCAGTCCTGCTGCCTTGAGCTGCACAGCCATCCTCAGAGTGCCAACACTTCCGTCAGCAATTGTGTGAGGACAGACAATGGACTGTGGAGGACTCAACATAATACAGGACAGGGAGGATTTGCTTTAAAACACACTTTAAATGAGAAAAGCATAAAGAAGCAGAAACTGCTCAAATCATTGAGCTCCATGAGGGAAAGAAATACACACAGTACTTCAGCAAGTTTACAACGTAGGTATTTACATTTACCTGAGGTGCGAGCGTTACAACAGTCCCCATCCCACCCCACCCCACCCCAAATGATTTCTTTTCAGCAGCGCTCAAGTATGCAAAAACTTATTTGGTCAATTATTTAAAAAAATATTTAGGGACAAAATAGATTTGCAGTCCCCATTCGTGTACAGCCCAACTGCTCCCACTAGTTTTTATTGCTATTTGGTACAAAAGTTAATAGAACTTAGGAGAATGTAGTGTTCCTTCTCTGCTCTGCGAGTCTATGTACAATACAGTCACAGCTTGTTCAGTAGCTCTCATCACGTGCTTCTCAGAAGATGAACCAAAGTGTGATTCCGCGGAAAGTGTGTACTCGCATCCAGCGAGACCTAAGGGGAAACGGTTGAAAGCCATTAGGACAAAGCACACTGGTTGAGGATCCGAAGAAATAAGCTGGAGAAATGGCCCTACAGTTAGTTACCAGGACTGGCTCTTCCAGAGGACCCAAGCCAGGCAGCTCACAATGCCTGTAGCTCCAGCTCCAAGGGATCAAATACCCTCTTTTGGACAGTAAGAGCACCTGCACTCACATGGCATTCACTCACAGATGCACACATCAACAAAAGTAATACTATTTTCAACATACATGAGTCAACCATGGGAACCTACAAGTAAAGGATTCCACTTACGCTCCAATGTCCCAATCGACACAGCTAGAGACTAAGTTATGTGTTGATGGACTACTCAGGGGATGAGATAATTACACCAAGAACCAGAACCCAGTACTCAGGAAGGGTTACCCAGTGTAATGGCTCACTTCTGTAATACCAGGACTGAGGAAACTGAAACAGGATCCCCAAGTTCAAAGTTAGCAAACGCAGTACAACAAGATCCTGTTCCCTACTTGCAAAAAGGAAAATCAAACTGGTGCTGCGCAAAAGCCCCTATTCCCTGAAGCTGGAGCATCTTCTCACCTCTACATCACAGCTCCATCCACGTACACACAGGACGGTTGTATAGGACTCACCTGAGAGGCAGCCCCCTCTGTCCAGGAGCACCATCTAAGCCATTTAACTGCAGTGCTCAGGTCCTAAGTCCTCGCACCATCTAAGCCATTTAACTGCAGTGCTCAGGTCCTAAGTCCTCAGCCTAAGAGTCAGCCTGGCATGCCAGCTGCCAAGGCTGTGACATCTAAATGGACAGCCATGCATTGCTGACAATGCCCCCCTGAGCTCAGGAAGCTGCCACTCATACACAACGGAACTGTTAAGCCAAAAGTCAAAACACATCTCTGCTTGCCCATCCCCAGTTCCCTTCCCAGAACAGATAAGGACTTCAGAATGCTCTGATCAGCTCCGAACCAACAAGGCAGGCACAGCTTCAGCTCTGTGTAGACCCAAGACAGTGCCAGGCAGAAGAAGCTGGACTCTGGGAAGCCACACAGGGCAAGCCTGTCTCCTCAGGCTGGTTTGGAGTCTGTGTCTTCCAGCCTCAGGTCGGGAACCTTGTCTATCTCCAGCAGACCTATGGTAACCCTTGGTTACTGGGTTATACGCCCAATTTTGTGCTATAGCAGGAGGGCAGCTATGGAACTGAGAGTAAACAAATGGGTGTGGCACATCCCAATCCAACCCCTTTTCTCAGCAGCAGCAGCTAGAGTGTCGCCTGCTGAACCCTAACCTAACGGCCTGGCTGCAGTGAGGATTAAAGCTTGATTTATTAGACGCTCACCACATGGTAAAGCCTCAATACATTTCACGGGCTATCTAACTACTGCCAGACACCTATAGTTCCTGAGTACTGTAAATTGTAAAAAAGTTGGGCCACTCAGATGGTTCACCGGGTACAGGCACTTGCTGCCGAGCTGACAATCTGAGCAATGTCACCCGTGGTAAGAGAAAACGACTCCCTAAGACATGCTACATCCCCCCTCCACAGCACACAAATCACCAACACATGTAACTTAAAGGTAATATTTCTAAACCTTTAAAAAGAAAGTTAACCAATACAATCTATTTAAAGATACCAACACTCACCTTTTCCCCCCAAAACCATCAGAAATCAAGTTTTTTTGTCATTTGGTCGATAATGTGTATTTCCAGCACAATTCTCATAGCCTCTCTTCTGCAGCATGCTGTTGGACAGGTGTTGATATGACACAGGCCTCTTTCCTAAGTGAAGAGAAGGAAGAGGTCACCCGCAGTCCAGCCCCGGGAACTCGATGGGGGTGCAGGTTCGCAGTCTAGGAAGCAAGTGTCTACAGCTGTCTGTTTAGGACAGCAGTGGTGCACACCTTTAACCCAGAGGCTGAGGTGGAGACAGGCCAGCCTAGTCTACAAAGTGAGTTCAAGGCCAGCCAGAGCTACAAAAATCAGACAGACCGTCTCTTAAAAAGAAACATATGCCAGGACTAGTGGCACTCACCCTTAATCTCAGCACTTAGAGGCAGGGCAAGAGGGATGTCTAGAAGATTGAGGCTAGCCTGGTCTACATAGCCAGTTCCAGACAGCCAGGACTACATACTGAGATCCTGTCCCGAAAAGTAAGTAGGTAGGTAGAGGTAGTTAGGTGGGAAGGCAGGCAGGCAGGCAGACAGACAGACAGACAAGCACACACTTAACCTGGGCCCCAACACGATGGCTCAGTCAGTGAGGCACTTAAGGCTGCATAAGACTGGAGACTGAGGATGGAGGAAGAAAACCAACCCCAGTGTGTACCCACATCACACACACCATAATGAAACCAACAATGTACTTAAGCCTACACAGACCATAAACAAAACTCTCTACAACAGGAAAAAGGGTCAGACTTACGTGAAAGACCATGGAACACTGGACACCTAAATCCACAGGGAGCAAAAACTACCGCTTCCTTCAGGAGTAGGGCTGCAGCTCAGCTGGTACCGTGTTTGCCGAAAGCACGCAACAGGCCCTGGGTTTGATAGCCTACACCCACAAAGACACATTACTACTTCATCACGACTTTAATGCAATCCACTGAAGCAGATGAGATCTCCTGGTTTTCTCTCCAGCAGGAAGTGCCCAGAACACACTACACTGAGAGTAGTTCTCAGGGCTTCACAATACAAGTGAAGTGGTGTCCAGGTCTACAAAATCAAAACCTAGATAGACTGCCTCTCTCAGGCCAACCCTACAAGGTCTGACTGTGGCTGTCTGTGGAGCAGCACAGATCCACAACACCATGATGCAGACAAGTCTGCAAGAGAGACACATGGACTGCTGTCCTCTAAGCATTGGAAAGCACCAGAAAGCTCCATGAAACTCTGGAAAAGAAACTATTTCCCTATGGGAACTCCAAAGTCATCCACAAGAGGACCACTCCCCACAAGGCGACCTCCTCAGCAGACCACAGTGTACCAGTGTCTCATACACACAGTCTCTTCAGCACAGGAACACAGAAAAATCCCAAATCCCACCAGAAGTTTGGAGTGTCGGCCATGACTTGTGGAAAGGAGAAGAGGGTTGTGACAAAGGCCTAAGCAGGATCTCAATGGCACTCACATTTTGTTTTTGTTTTTTTTTCCCCCTTGGGAACAGTCTACATAGCCCAGGCTAATCTCAAAAGCCTCAGTCACCCAGTGCTGGGACGACAGACATGCACCACCATGTCCAGATGGTACCTGCACCTCAACAGTAAGGAAAGAAACTACTTTTAGCTTGTTTTTATTTTTGTTTTATTCTACATTATTTCCTTAAGAGAAATTCAAGACTTAATCCTTTAAACTTAAGCTCTGAAGGCCCATAATCCACTGCTGTGTGTTGGGTATGGAAGAATGCTTGCTTGGACTCCTATGGGATGTGCCCCTAAACTCAGTGCCCACCTAGTGCCTGGGTAGTACCTTCAAGGGCTGGGCTGGCTCCTGTGTGTCCCACAGGTCCACAGGTGTACAGAGGTCCAGAGGCGTTGTAGGGCTTCTGCACTGTCAACACACTGGGGGACTCCACCTCCCCAGGGCTCAGGAAACGGGCTTTCGGGGCCATCACAGGCGATGGGCACACACACTCTGGTAACAGCGAGGTGATGCTCCTGACCACATGGTATTTGGGTAGCTCGAAGCCCCTTCTGCCGTTGGGTCCAGGGTGCTCTGTGTCCAGGGCCACCACGCTGGACTTGAGTCTTTTGGGAAGTGGCTCACAGAACTCTGCTGTGGCACTGCCAGCACTCCGGTGGCAGTAGTAGTCTCTCTCCCTCCCCTGAGGGCCCCACGGGCCGTCCACCTTCACGGGATACTCGATGGAACCGTTGCCGTTACTACTGCCGAGGGGGGACTGAGACTGGGCAGCTGGCAGGGTCTTAAGCTTCAGCTCGGGTCTTTTCACTTTATCCGTAGCAGCAGAGACACCACCTTTGGGCAACAGCTCTGACTGCTGCTGTCTGGTGGCCCCGGGACCCCCGGCACTGGGCTGTGATCTGTGTGACTTCAGGTTACTTGGGGCTAAAGTGCTGCTGTCTGGCGGCCCTGATGTCTGGGGAGCTTTGCTTGGCCCGGAGGTACCCTGCCGGGCCTTCTCCAGGAACAAGGACTTGGCCTGTGATGAGAAAGCAAGCTTAGTCTTGGGCTTGTGCAGGCCAGACAAGGGAGGCACATCTTTGCCTAGCAAGGCAGGAGGACATCCTGTTCGCCTGCTCCTCAGCACAGACTTGCTACTGCAGTTCTTGTGAGTATCAGGATTGTACCTATGCTCCAGTCTCTGGTGCATCAACAGAACTTCCGGATAAAAAGTCTTAAAGGTACAAAAGGGGCAGGCGATGGTGGGGATGAGACACTTGCTCAGAGAGATAGCAGGAGAGGCGTGGAGCGCCCCAAGGGACAGATTCAAAGGCCTGTCCTGGCAGTCAGCACCCGGCTTGTATTTGCAGTCGGCCTCCCACTCCATCTTCTCCCTATGGCCACCTTCCCGTGCCGGGGGCCCACTCCCCTCTACTTTGCAGGCAGGGATGCTGGCCTGAGGCTCGCCCGCTGCTCTCTTTTTCGGCATGTCCAGATAAGCAGGGGCAGGACTCTTTCGCACTTTCTCGCCATTATCGGCTGCATTTTTATGGAAATCCTGAGTATCCTTGTTGTGTGCTGGTGAGAGGAGGGCGCTGCCCAGAACACTCGGGAAGACAGAAGGCGGCGTCTCCTTAAGCTGCTTGGCAGGTGGGCTGCCCTTAGCATCTTTGGCACCATCAAGAAATCGCTTTAAATTTTTGGTCTGTGCACTGTCGGCAGTTAGTAGTGCTTCCTGCGGCTCCTGGCTCCGACCTTCACTTTTAGCCTCGGCCGCAGCGTCCGCCAGCTGTTTGTCCTTGTGATGTCTCTCCAAGTGGTACCTTAGAGACGTCTTCTGGGCTGCGGCATACTCACAGAATTCACATTTGTACGGTTTTTCACCTAGAACGAGATATGCCACTGTATCATGACGTTTGGGAAAAAGCGCCAACACAACTCTGCAAGCAGACAAGCCATGACACAAAACATGGGTTGTCCCCTATCTGCCAATCTTCCTATCGAGAACATCTCAACGGCCCAGTGCAGCACTGAACACTTACTTAGACCTCCTCTTTCCCAGAAAAAGCCCACTGCATGCTTTCACTGACCTGGCCTCCCCTGCTGCCCTGTGGCAGTCTGTGCACTTTATCAGCTAAGGAAATGGGAGCACAGGGAACTACGCAGTGCTCCCAAGCCAAGGCAGGCTCATGACTTCCTAACCCATACTGCTGCCATACTACATCCAAAGCAACAAATACACCCTCGCTTCACTCCAAAATCATAAAGTGGTTTAAGAAAGAATGTGACATGAAAAATATTGCAGTTTGTCTTCAGATGAGAGCCAGTATGTGGCAGCCATAAACCAGCCTCAAAACAGGACCCCACTGTTCAGGTTAAGGACACATAAGCCACTGAACCACAGACCAGCAGCTCATCATCATCATCATCATCATCATCATCATCATCATCATTTTAGCTAACACATGCTTTAAGAAACAAGTCCTTTACCTGTATGCGTTCTGAGATGAATATTGAGGTAATAGTTTGAACGGAAAAACTTGCCACAGTAACTACACTCTCTCGAGGACGTGAGGGGCTTTGCTTTTCCTCCATCATCACTTTTATCTTAAAGCAGAAACAAAAATATTTGTGTAAGTCAGACGAAGCACATGATTCAGGCATGAGGACTCCAGTATTCTTGACACAAAACATTTGGAGAAACCATGAAATAATTTTTTATTTTAGTTCTGGGTAGAAGTTTCAAAGGCTAAAATAACATACCAAATGCCATAAGGCAGTGTTTCATGTCTTAGACCGTGTGCTTTTGTTTTGTGCTGTTTTGGAGACGAGGGCTCACCTGTGTAGCCCTGACTAGCTTGGGACTCAGGAATTCGCCTGCCTGCCACCCTACTGCTGGGATTAAAGGGGCGTGCCACCAAGCCCAGCACTAAACTGTGCTCTTCTGTGGTCAGAGTACAGCCTAGTGCCCTAGTGTATTCAGGGTTTGCACCTTAATCACCAGAATGACCATTTCATGGATGGAGCCTGGCATGTACTGAACCTGGCTCACTGGCCAGAGACCACCTTACTCAGAACCAGCAATTTTATTTGGAGGCAAATCAATATAAAACCTAACCACCGGCTGAAAACAGCGTGAGATGAAGAAAGTGACCACTAGAGGGCAGCAAGCGCAAAGTAACTTTAACAGCAACCCTGGCTTGGCTTTGGGCAAGCACCTAGGGAAAGCTGAGCAAAATTTAGCCAAGTTTGGGAAGGTGGGGTTTATGGTTTCCAAGCAATCTCATGGGCAAAACAGACTTGGCTCATCAGAATCTATGCCAAAGGCAAGACTGAAGTGCCTGATGTGAAGGCCCACTGGAGACAGGGGCAACTAAAGCCGCTGAGGCTTCTCACACTCACCAGCCCACCAACTTGCAACTGTTAAGACTGCCCCCTAGTGTCAGCTCTAGCAGGTAGGTCTAAATGACCCACCAGCCATCTCTGCAAGTCTAGTCATCAGCCATGATGCAGGAGGTGGTCAATCCCAAGGACACAGGTCCCACCTGGGTTCAAAAAGGCGTATTTAAACTAGTCATTTTGCCTTCCGAAACTGATTTCCAAGTACAGGCCTCTTCCCTGTTCTGCCTCGTGCCGCCTTCTTACTAATTTGCAAAGACAGCTGATCCATATACCTGGGCAAGAGCGGGTGCAATGAATGGGCCTAGGCTATCTCCATTACACCAAATCCCCACTAGGGAAGGGGATCCATAAAACACAACTCCTGGCTTACACTGGTAGCACAGACTTTGAAAAATTCAGCACTTTTTGAACTTCTTGAAAGCAGACCTAAAGCTGACTGATCAGTGGATGCTGCCCTTACACTCACAGCTAGGCTCACAGCTAGCCCTGCCTGCATGCGGCTGTGTCAGGCTTCCTCACATCACACGCAAGAGGCTAGGAAACACCTCTGACACACACACAGGCTGTGGCCTCTCAACATCTGGGCCTACCTTCTAGCCTGGAACTTGACTGGACTATGCCGTTCTGTACAGGGTTGCAAACTTTTACAACTAATGTCAAACTCATCCTAGGGAGGAGCACCAGAGGTGGATAAGCCAATTTTGCAAACAGGGAAATCGCAAGGAAAGGTTGGGCAACGTGTAGTGGGTCACCAGGAACCAAAGCCAGACCCTGGCACTCCCACTTTTGACAAGCCAGGCCAGGGAGCCTCCCTTAGGGCCCCACAATAGTGCCCATGAGGTCATAAGAACAACCTCATAGATGGCCTCTGTGCCTCTGCAGTGTGTGCAGGTCAGCACTGGAGATGCCCACATGCTCCCAGAGAAAGGAGTCTACTGACTGAAGATCCTCAATCAGTGGCCAGAAAAAGAACTAGGTACTGGTTCAAATGCACAGTGGTTGACAGGTCAGACATAACTGTTTGTTGGACTCACCCCGGTCTCACAAAGACTTCCAACACACCACGCAGTGCCACAAACACATCTGCAAGTGTTATCATTAACCTGTGGCTCATGCCCCCACACATCAGGGGTGTTAACTACTTTAAGCAGCAGAGCCCCACATTCTGTAACAATGGTTCAAGTGTGGGTGGGCAGCAAGTCCAGAAACACACTGCTCCACTGCTCTAGGCTTGCACCCAATCCTATGAACCTGGGCAATAGCTTGTTTCTATAAACACCATTACAGCACACCAAATTCACGGAGCAGGACTGAAGTGGGCCCACATGCCTGGATTTCACCTACAGACCATTTCGGAAGCTCGCTCATCAACACTGGCCTCACAAACACCGAAGTGATCAGAATGCAGCAGGCGATTCCCACAGCAGGATGAGCTAACTGGTTGGGAAGCCTCCCCCGCCCCTTCTGGGACCACTAGAAACCCATGTGAACGTACACAAACACAGGGTCTTGATAGACAGCCCTGGTCTTACAAGTTAAGAACAGGAATGCCAGAGAATGGACACCAAGTCCTAGGTCTCAGTCCCAGAACTCTAGTATCCTGCACCAGGTCACTCCAGTGCCTGAGGAGGCAAGCAGCATTCCCAGTCTCTACCCACTGTGCACTAACTATAAAAACCTGAGTCCTTTGGGAGCAGAATGTGCAGAGCCCTTTCAGAACAAGACAGGATTTTGGACAGGCCTTTTAACTCCACCCCCTTACTACAGAAAGGAAAGAAGGGCTGAGATGCTGACTACAGGGAATTTAACCACAAAGGACAGAGATTCCAACTTGACTCCCATGCTCCAGCACTGCCTGGGAGGCAGCAGAGTACTCACCCAAATGGAGCCCTTCAGGGAGTCCATCCTCAGACCCATCTTCAGAGCCCCCTTCTCGGTCCACAGCCCCACCATCTTCCATAGTGGTAGCGAGGTCTGGGGAGCAAGTCCCAGGCTGCCTTCCATCCACAGACATGGTGGGTGATGGGGCATCGGCCCTCCTGTCCTTCTTGTGCACTCTCGAGTGCAGGACAAGCTGGTGGTAGGTTCTGAAGGCTTTACTGCATTCCGAGCAGTGTGTGGGCTTCTCCTTGCTGCTGGGCAACTTGGGATCGCCATCCCCAGAAGGCACTTCACTGTTGGCATGTCTAGGTTTCTCTTTGTCTTGTGAGAGACCTGGACAACTGCTTCTATTTGTTTTGGACTTTCCAGAACCTTCTGACTTAGGCCCAATCCAAATTTCTCCAAGTTCCTCTTTCTCTGAACACGAATCCTCATTGTCCGTACTTCCTTCTTGGCCTGACTCCTTCACCTCTTCTTGGGCAACGGCCACTTTTCCTTTGGTGGCCAGCTGCCACGCCTGGTAGGTGGTGAACGGGTCAAGCTGAGGTATACAGGTGACGGGCTTCACTGCAGTCTCCGGGTGGGATCTGGGTCTCAAGTTCAAATACTGCAGCAGCTCGTCCCTCGGAGATGTGGGTTCCCCCTCTGGCTGGGCATCAGGGGCGGTGCTACTGGCACTGGAGGCAGATTCTTTGGCATGAACCTTACTGTGTTCAATGAGGCTCTGCTTATTCGGGAAGATGAAGCCACAAACCATGCAGATCTTGTAGGGGGTGGAGATGTTCCCAGCTCCATGGACCTGAATCACTTCATTGATGGTGACAGGACTCTCCAGGCCCTGCTGCGACTTGCTCCTGGTACCAGACTTGCCATTGTGTGTCCGCATGTGGTTCTTCAGGAACCACGGCTCCTTGAACCTTCTCCCGCACATGCTGCACCCGTATGTGAAGGAGTCCTTGTGTTTCTTCATGTGGCTCTCAACGTCAAAAGCCCCTGGGAATGTCTGCCCACACACATCGCAGCTCAACTCTTCCAACTCTTTGCAGTTGTTCTCCTTCGGTGGTTCAGTCGGCACCTGACCTTTGTCAAGAGGACTTAGGTACTCGGCCTCCACACGCAGGACGGCTGGCTCGCAGACGATGGGCCGGTGCTGCATGAGTACATGCTGACTGAGGTCTTCTGCAAGGGAGAAGGCTTGGCTGCAGAACATGCAGTCCAGGGGCATGTGCCCTTCAGCTGGGGTCATGCTCCTCTCCTGCGCAGCTCTGAAGGGGACTGCAGCTGGCCCTTTGATGGACACAGCATCATCCACCTCCACCTGGGTGCCTAGAGAGCTGCCAATGACTTCCGGCCCGTCCATGTACGCGAGGAGTGATTGAGTTGGCATGCTGCCTGCCACTTCAGGGTCAGATAGGAAGGGACAGTCCAGCCGTCTGCTGGGGAACCTCTGGAGTTAGAATAAGGCCACTTGTGAGACGTCACTCAAACCTCCAGGAGCCCTGAGCTTGTAACTAAAGTTCAGAGGGGCACGTGTATTCCAGAGTTTAGGACAAGCTCGGTGATGGAGATGGGTCTTTGCACAAACAAAGTATGATGGCTGCCCTGTGCTGTGATTCAGATGTGAGTCAGCACGAGGGCACTAGTTCTGGCTGTCTCCATTGGGTGAGTGGCTCAGTTGAGCAAGACGCTGATCCCGGCAATGTGAAGACAAGGGACTTCCAAACTCTGAAAGGAAAAAACAAGACACGGTAAGGAAGGCTCAGAAAGAGAGGGTTTGCCCATGAGTCACGTGGTCTTTTCCACAAAAGGAGACTAAACTCAATTGCCACACCTTTAACTAATCCATAATGCATCCTGCTAAACATGTTTGTTAATTAAATCACTAGCATATTTCCCCGCCGATACACTTACTAAATGAGTAGAAATTCAACCAGTAAGGAGAGTTTAATCCAGACCTCTGCTCACTAAAATATAAAAGCCAAGTTTAAACAGGGAATGGCTATGACAGGCCAGCCAGACTAAGCTACATAGTGAGTTCAAAGTAAGCCTCGTCAACATAAAAGACAGTCTAAAAAATTAATGTAATAACTATAATAAGAAGTCACAATAGATAGAATTGTTACAATTCTGCTGTCTCAGATGCCACCAAGGTACACACATGTGCCTCCTCCATACAGACTACAAAAGCCCCAGTACGGTAGGGCTTTAATCCCAGTGCCCAGGAGGAAGAGGTAGGTGGATCTCTGAGAGTTTGAAGCCAGCCCAGTCAATATAGCAAGTTCCAGAACAGCTAGAGCTACATAGGGAGACCATGTCTCCAAAGAAAAAAAGTTAGGAAATGAGCTGACAAAATGAGACAGTTTCAGGTAATACCCTACAGCCAGTACTCAAAACGGTTACCTACACGAGGTCTCCATCTCAGTCACATAGAGGTCCAACCCTCAGCACACAACACATGAGCCCTTCCTCGGGTCCCCATTCAGACACACCTCAGAATGGGCATTCGCCTTGGCCCAGGACTCTGATGTGTTTGGGGCACTGGAGACTGCCAGGTAGGGTAGGGCTTCAGAAGGCAAATGACCTATCAGATGCAGAAGCCACTTACTTTGCAAGTGTCCACATTTCTAACAGGCCTCCTCCACAGACCTGGCTCCGTGTGGCCGGCCCATCTGTGTCCCATCAGAGAACAGACCTCTCACCTTGCACTCCACCCTTCACTTGGGCGCTGGCCGGGTGGAAGGAGGACTTGACTTAGCACTCTATGGGATCATCTGCTCTGGAGGCTGGTCTTTCACTCCTGAAGGATGAACCCCTAAAAAAGTCAGTGTCCTTCATGGCACACAGGGCTTGTTTTTACAGCCCTGCCTCCTCTCCTAACAAGTTGGTTAATTCCAAAGGAACCAAAGGGCACCAGGCCACCTGCCACAGTTCTGTCCTTCTCCTTCTGTGTCCCACCCACTGCACATTCATGAAGCTGGCTCTTCCCCTTCTTCACACTAGGGCTGTGAAGAGCAGAGGGGGGAAGAGCAGGCCGCTGGCAGGGCTTATCTTCATGTCTGCCTTTATTACAATCACAATGGAGGACAAGTACCTGGAGTGGTTACCACCCTGTGACCTAACAGAGACCTAAGTTCTAGCCCAAGTTAGGACCTTCAAGGTGTCACAACAAAGCTAATCCAACCTGGGCACTTCCTGTAGTTAAAACTAGAGCAAGGCTCACAAGCACTGAACTCTGTCTATGGCTGACAGATCCACACAACCAAAGCACTGGCCGCAAACGAAGCTTGGGACCGATTTTAGATTGCTACACATTCACTAACGTGACACCCACAACCCAGGCAGTATGCTCACTAGAGAATTAAGCACAGCCTCTGGAAATCTCACTCACCCTGCCAACCCACTTCTGTTCAGAGCCATAGGGTTAACTGCAGTTCGAGTACAGTCACCTAGTTACTAGACGGCCTTTCCTCTTTGAAGCTCTAAAATAACTATTTTTAAATGGCAGAGAAGCAATAGTTGTATCAAATAGTGAATTCCAGGCCAAACTGGGCTATCATGTGAAACCCTATCTCAAAAAGCTAAGAGCAAACCTGCTTGAGCTGGGGTAACAGTAGAGGACAGCAGTGCTGATCTGTGAAGCCTAAGCTTTTGGAAGAACCCCACTTCTCTACAAGCTCCCTTTCTGAAAGGTTACCACCCCTTGGTTCGAACCATGACCACTAACCCAGGGGTAAGGGTAACTTATAATCCCCCAAGTGTCATCTGAGTACCTTCACTCACACAGCCTGCTTCCTGGACAGTGCATTCTGTTCAAATCTGCACTGTCCTATGTTTTGAATAAAGATTCCTGCTACTTCAGGGGAGAAAGAATGGTTCCAATTTTCATCTCTGAACTCCTCAGTTGCCTGAGGGAAGAGGCTGCAGCTCAAGGTAAAGATGCTCTAAAGATGACAACCTGAGACATGCCCAGTAAAGGACAAGAGGCACACACTGGCCGGCCGATAGCCAGAGAGAAGCAGGGCCTCATCTGGCTGAGAGGCAGACAGGGAAGAGCAAAGCTGGGAGTACTTCCTCCCTCTAAGAAGCTTCCAGAACAGACTCTAATGGTCACAACTATGCCCATGGTACAGCCCTGGACAGCCTGAGTTACAGCATCTCAAGACTCAGGGACAAGCGTGTCTCACAACTGCCTACCACCATCCACTACAGTCAGCTGTGACATACTCTCAGGACTTTAGTTCAATCTAAAATCGTCCTATGAGGAAATATAAATTTAAAATTAAAGACAAGTCATCTTTCTCTACCATCATTTTAAAGATTTCAAGGTTTTAAATATAAAGAGTAGCACCCTAAGATCCTAAGGACAGGGTGGCTGGCTGGTTCACTGCTGTTCCTCTGGGACCTGGCAATGGATTGTGCAGGAAGCAGGGGCCAAAGCAGCAGCCATTCGCTGGGCTACAGCGCCTGCTACTCCTGATAGGATGCTAAAATGAACCCAAGTGTTCACAGGATTTTCTTCCTGAGTCAAAAGGCCACTCCCCATGACCACTCTCTGCAACCAAGACTAACAATTTTTATTTCTAAGTAGGTGTGCAGGTGACTGCAGAGGCCAGAAGCTGGGGGCAGAGCAGAAGTAGGGTACCAGATTCCCTTGGAGCTGGAGTTACACAGGGGGTTGTGGGCCACCTGGGGTGGGTGCTGAGGACTGAACAAGGATAGTCTGGAAGAGCAGCAAGTGCTGTTGACAAGTGAATCATCTCTCCATCCCTCCAAGATTTTTTGTTTTGGATATTTTTATTTGAGACTGGGTCTCTCTACATAGCCCTGGCTATCCTGAAATTCACTGTGTAGACTAGACTTAGCCTCGAACTCAGAAACTGCCTCCCAAACACTGGTATTAAAGGCATTTCCCAGATTTCCCAACACCACCCCCATCACTCACACTCACTCACTCACTCTCTCTCTCTCTCTCTCTCTCTCTCTCTCTCTCTCTCTCACACACACACACACACACACACACACACACACACACACACACTTATAAAGCTGACCAGCACAAACAGCTGTGCCCTGAGTTGAAGGCAGAGTGTGGTCAGTTGCAGAGCACTGGCCTGCCATGCGTATAGGTCTGGGATTCCATCCCCGGCAATGAATATAAGACTGCACCCCTTGAGTGTGTCCCCTCCCGTGGTCCATCAAAACATGATAGCAGGTACTCCCTCTTCCTCACAGAGAAGCCACAAGTCTTTCACTCAAGTGTAAAGCGGCAGAATACTTCTCAAGGTGTTAAAATCAATTTGCTGCGCTACAATCTTTAAAGAACTGCAACAGACTTAGGATCGGAACCTATCAAAGCAGCTGTTGTACAGTGATTGCTACCTAACAAATGGTCCCTCTGCCCGAAGAGTGCAGGCAGACTCAGCTTTCCCAGAAGGCTCCGGCCTTCCTGCTGGAGTGTAGAAGGCAACAGAATCCCAGTCCTTTAAGGACTATTTGACAGAGAACTGAAGGGAAAGGGACATAAATGCAATGCAAGTTTGTTTGGTTGCCAGGAAAGCAAGTATTCTAACCACACCAAGCTTGTTAAAAAGAACTCTGCAAAAAATAAAAACAAAGGTCTGTTTAAAAACCTTTTTAAATCTTCACTCCTGTAAAGGCACCACTGAACCTTCAGTCCCACGCTCCAGGCACCGCACTCAATATGCCCTCACATTTAGAGAATATACTGGGGCTTAATGCACATTAAGATTACTCAGTTTCGCCAGGCGGTGGTGGCGCACACCTTTAATCCCAGCAGGGAGATCTCTGTGAGTTCGAGGCCAGCCTGGTCTACGGAGCGAGTTCCAGGAGAGCCAAGGCTATTACACAGAGAAACTCATGTCTTGAGAAACCACCTGCCCGACTCCCCCCCAAAAAAAGATTACTCAGTTTTCAGTAAGAACCATATGGCTTTGCTTTAACTGCTCAAGTGTGTTTGATATCCTTTAAGTCCCTAACTAGACATTGATGTGTGACTAAATGGACCATGAATCTCTCCCCAGTACCTGACTGTAAAATTACCAATTACACAAGATAGTGAAAAGAAAGACAAACTGTGCTCAAAGTAACATCATCAGGGGAACTGCCACTCGTGACAACTACTATACTTGGGCTTGGAAACACCACTGCACACAGAAATACTCACAGCCACACAGAGCCTTCAGGTAACACATCTGTGTGCTTCCCATGAATCCGTTCTCTCACATTCTTGGTAAGGGCTATCTCCCACTGAGGATCAGGAAGGCAGTGAGGACATTTACTCCTCCTCACAGGCAGCAATCTGCCTGTCTTCCAACTGCTCCCCCAGGTTAGAGGTGTCCTAACAGACACGCAAAGACACTCAACTCACTCAAGGTACTCAAAAGACCAATGTATTTCTATCTTTAAAACTACAAAATTAGAGCTAGAGACATGGCTCAGTGGTTAAAGGAACTGGCTGGTTACTCCTCCAGAGAACCTAGGTTCAACCCATATGGCAGCTTATGGCTTTAACTCCAGCTCCAGGGGATCCAATGGTGGCCTCCGAAGGTACACACACACAGTGCTCAGAAGTACATGCAGGCCAAACATCTATCAGTAGATAGTTTGTAGGAAGATGGTTAAGATTTATTTATTAAGTGTTCTGCCCGAGTGTATGTGTGTGAAACATCTACATGCAGTGCCCAGAGTTTAGGAAAGGTGTCCTG